GACTCATTAACATTATGTTTTCCTCCCCTTGGGAGCAATTTAGTGCTCTTTGGACAATTATGTACTTACATGGGATTTCTAGTCTAATTCTGGCCTTAATAATGGAGTGGTTAAATTAGTGATGTAACAAAGGGTGAGAAACTGAAAATCTCTTTTATATTTGTCAAGTTTGGATGATAAGTCTGTGAATTGAGACCCACAGTCAGAAGTAGAGCATATGAATGTATGTGAAATAATGTTCCCAACCAGGATTGTGCAAGTACATATGCTACAGTTCTGTCACAGTTCACATGAAGCTATTCAAGACCTGAGTCTCTGGTTGATCAAGCTGACAGATACCATTTACTGTCAGAAGGCTCTTCACCTGTTTGTTCCTCATCATCATCACTGAAAAACAACCATATTACATTAGATTCCTTTTCTTTGAAAACAGTTGCCATTTTTATCATCCGTGTCATCTGTATGTTTTGCTAAGATTAAATAAAGTTGACAACAAGATGACAGCTTAATTAGAACATTAAATTTACACTTGCCTGAATTGTTTCATCTACTGTTTTTAGTCATTACCCATTCTTCCATTATTCTCCTTTTATTTGGGTATCTTTTTAACCTATCAGCAGGTCAGACACATTTTTAAATGAACAGAAGAATGCAATTATAAACGTACACAAAATTGGCAGCGGCAAATATATTAACAGCAACAACTTTTAACTTTTTTAATTAAGACATTTCAAGATGACAAAGTCACTTGAAACTACTGAAACTGCATAAAGAAAGAAATACTGACTCCTCAATAAAGCATGATGATAATCATATGGGCAAATGTTTACTCGGTGTTCCTATGGAATAACTCTTTTGACAGCAGTTTGGATTTTCCCAAGGAAAGAAATTGAAGGTCTAATTTGTAAGTTCTGTGACTTGGTGATGAGATGATAAGCATTGATGAATGTGTTGTTCAGTTCAGCTAATTATTTTTAAAAGGAGTTACAGTCCATTGCACTGTGATGTCGAGGTCACAAAGCATTACTTTGACATTTGGTTCTAATTAGCCCCTGTATGTGCAGTCTCAGCTAGAGAAGGTGAGGAGGTTTATCAGTCCTAACACTGGTTTCTTTAGGATAGGTTTGAGGCAGAGTGAAAGCCTGGTCCAAAGCTTACTGGTCCAAACCCTGTTGATATGGGATTTGAATGTAGCCCTTATACAATAACTGGCACTGTTTCTTCGTTTACTTTCCAGTTCGGGAGATAAATCAAGGTTTTCAGTATCAAAAACAGCTAATCCTTTCACCCTCCCTTGGTCCTCATGAGATTCCTGATTTCCTTATTATCTGCTTCACTTTAGATGTTTTTCACAAGTGTGGACATGGTGATATATTTCTCATGTTACTTCTGTGGTCATTTTTCAGTGCTGCCATTGAATCTATGATTTTATATGCTGATTATAGTTATAAAATTATGTTTTATGATCAGAGTGTTATTGTTAGTAACTGTTATATTCAGAAAATATTAAAATAAGTAAACCTAGGAGAAAAGATGAAGAAATCAAAAAAGCTTAACATCAGCACTGACAGACAAGAGGAACCAGAAGCCACAGCAAAGATTTGTTACACACACACACTTACTTAGAAAATATGAGTATCATGGCAATTAGAAATGTCTTTTGATGTTGCGTAACTTTGTTTCTCTACATGAATTCTATAGGCTCTCCATATAAATCTGTGCTATATTTCCACAGTGTTGTTTCAATAGCTCAACACTATTGAAGGAAATGAAGTTGGATTCTTTTGTGAGGGGTCAAGTAGTCAATTATTAGTAAGGCAGGAAATGTTACATCACTTGTTTTTGGAAGACAGTAACATTTAAGTAAATGAATATTTGTTCAGGTAGCCAAAGGGTTAAAAGTGAATGTAAAATCTCCTTATGACAGACTGCACACTTTTATGTTCAGCTATTCTAGTCAATAGTTATTACTTGCTTGACTTTTTGAATAATTAATGGATTTATTTTGAATTTATGAACTGGTATGTCTATTTTAATAAATATTTTCTGTGTGTCAGATTTAAACTTGTATCATTTTGTAAAATAGGCTACATACCTCAAATCTTGCTCCTGCTCAGGAATACTCAGTGCACAAATTGCCATTTTTCTGCCATCTCCAACTCCTCAGCTTGTTTATCATCATTGTATTTGCTCTACAGGAAGACAAAACACAGAGGGTGTGTCTAGACTACATGGCTCCATTGACGGAGCCATGTATACTAGTTTACCCAACATAGTCAAAGAAGCGGGGATTTAAATAATCCCCGCTTCATTAAAATAGAAATGGCTGCCGCACTGTGACGACAATTAACTGATCCGGCACAGCGTGGCAGTCTAGACATGGCGTGGTCGACAAGGGAAGTCTTTGTCAACCGCTCCAGTATGCCTTGTATGCTATCTACAGCTCCTTCACCCCAAACTGAATATCTCTTATTTGTTTCTAATCTTCTTTTGTGTTTTTTTCTTTATTCCCATTAACAGATTCATAAACTTGATGTAACCTTTGTCTCTTATTTGTGCTCTATCCCCTGTATCTAGTACCTTCTGTTGCATATCTCCAAGATATCTACTTTCCGCAGTGTTTACATTGCTGAAATCCTTGTCCATATCATGAATCATCCCTCCCCTTGCTGCTGTAACTATGCCCTGTCTGACCTCTCCCACTTGTTCTCAGCTATCTTCCATTTAGTTTATCCAAATAATAATTACTAAATTCACCTTCAATGACTCTACTTATGTCCCATTTTTTTTAAAAAAAGCATTCATTGTCTTCTAGTCTCTTATCATGCTTTTCACCCTATGTAATTCTGAAGGCTTCCTATCTCTGCCCCCATTTACTCTATTTCTCCACTCATTGCTACTAGTCCTCTTAATCTACTTTCCCTAGTACTCTTTTCATCTCTATTTTCCATTCTTGTCTTTGTTCTTTTTATCAGGCAATTCTGGTACAGTTCTGGTAGCTTATCAGAGCTTCTTATCTTGTTTAGCAGGCAAAACGAGACTTGGGGATCTTGTTTAATTAGGCCTCAACTTTAATCATTTAACTCATCCAGTAACTACTCAACAATAACTCATACAGTATTGGCCATTAATCCTTGCTTAATCTTTTCCATGTGGCTGAAGCCTGCTATCAGTCCCTCATTACTCCACAGCTAGCTGCCAGCCCATGGTTGGGACCCCACTGTCCTTCCCTCATATAAAAAGTAAGGTGCGAGGGAAAGAAGGTTGTCTCCTCACTATATCAGACATTAATCACACCACCGTATTACCCATTTTCCTTAGGGGATGCCCTCACCTTAGTGCACCTACAATTCCAGATTAGAAGGAAGAAGTGTCCTCAATGGACACCTGCTACAAGCAGGAATCACAAGTACCTTGGTTAACTCTCTCCCACTAACTTCAGACTAGAGAGAGGCACCTATGTCTACTCAGGATTCAGAAATGTGAACCTCGTCCTGGAGATAGGTAGATACCTAATCCAATCAGAATTTTCTCATGGAATATATATGAGAGCAAGAGCAAGATGGAGAGAGAGCTAATCCCCTGTCTGCCAGCCCATTATTGCCAACCAAACAGTGATTAAGTCACTCAGACTATGTCTTTACGACAAAGAAAAGTCGGAAAAAGATACGCAAATTGTGAACCATAATTTGCATATCTTTTTCTGCTTTTCTTCCAAAAGAGGCTTTTCTGACATTTGGCCTGTCTACACGGGGGCCAAATTTCAGAAAAAAATCCTCTTTCAGAACATCCCTTTTTCCTCATAGAACGAGGCTTATAGGGACGCTGAAAAAATGTGTCTGTTTTTTTCAAAAAAAATTTCGGAAAAGCAGACATGTTCCTTGGCTGTGGCAGAGCTTTTCTGGGATACCTCCAGAATCACAGAAAAGCTCTGTAGTCTAGACATACCCTCAGTTGGGAAGAGAGGAGAAAGACCTATGATCAAGTATTTGGTCAAAACATTGGTGATTCAAACATGGATCCCCCACATCTCAGGTGAATATGTTAACCACAGAGCTATTGGATACAATGGAGATAGTGACTATCACTGATCTGCCTGCCCCAGCTGCCTTTTGTGCAGGTTAGATATGCTCTGAGAACACTCAGTTCATGAATTCTGCCAGGACTAAGATGTAAGCTCAGTGGTTTCAGCATTTAGGGAGTTTGGCATATGACCAGAGGTAGAAACCTAGCGATTTTAGACAGCAGCTGAGTGAGTGTTTTGAGGAGCTGAATGGCACCTATATGTTGGACTGTGGAGCCTCATGTGTCAGGTGCCCAAGTCCTTTTGTCGATTTAGCCCTTCCCTTTCACTCTCAGTTCCTCCATCTGTAATATGGGGATAGTGAATCATATCCTCTTCGTGATGTGATTTGAAAAATGCTGTATGACCCATATATTTGAAGTTTTCCTTCCATTGGATTTGAAACAGTAATAAATACAGAGTAAGATAATTTAGTCTGAGCTTCCATACATTTTAAGAAATCAATGTTTTTAAAAATATGCAGACTCACTGACTCTTGCCAACTCATGTATGCTGTGCACATTCTTGGGGCATTTCAGCTCAGGAGAAGGATAGTTATAAACAAATCATGCAAATACAACTGTTCCAGTACTGCATGTGTGCTCCAGTACTCACTTTTGTCTTTTAACATTAAGACCAGAAGTCTAACTTTATGGAAGAGGACATGCACTAATAGTAAATTTTGCCTTTTAAAATTATTTTACTGGGATAATTTTTAAATTTATTCACTCATCCAGGTTTTATTTATGTTAATAATTTACTTCATGCATCCTTTGTTAATGAATGAATGTGAGAGATTTTTAAAGATTATGTCCTACAAATATTGAATTAGTTAATGAATATAAGTTTTGAAGTTCTTGTTGATTTTTCTAAAATAATTTTGACACATTTTCTATGCATTTTTCAGCATTTAATCATATTGTCTTTTCCTTTTCAGCTTCTTAATTAAATGAATTCAAGTGGGATATGCATAAGACTAATATTTACTATGAAGATAAGCTATTACTGATATTATCTGCTCACCCATATTGCATTTTTTCAAGATTCCTGTGTGGGTTCATCTGTGGATTTGGGATTTTTTAAAATTGTTTGGCGGGGGGGGGGGGGGGGGGGGGGGAAGGATAGTGGGACAGTCATACTTCTGCTCACCAGCATTGTATGTTTTTATACCTAACATAAAGAATGCTGCATTTAATTTATAGAAACCTATGTAGTAAATGTTAAATATCTTTATAGAAGATGTGGAAAACTGTGATGGATATAGTATGTTTAGTGGTACAGAATTTATAGAATGTTCATTATAATGTGTCTTATGCTTGCATGGCCACCTTGTAGACCGTTTGTTAAAGAACCAAAAGTAGATGTCTGGGGTCTTTTTTTGTAAAGTGTTATAAAGTTGTCCTGAGATGCACTTTAGAACCCCACCTTCCCAAAAAACACTCTGCTGTTGGAGAAATCAAAGCTGAAATGAAAACTGTTCGTTGGTTACATAAAGTGTATTATCATTTATTAAATGCCACTCGGACAATAAAGAAAATAAATGTTGAATGAGCTTTTAAATTGTGTTGACTTTTTTCCCCTGATGCTTTGTAATTTCTAAGGGACACATCTCTAGGAATTGAATTACACAAGAACAGCAAGGATTTTGACCAAAAGAGTGATTGTACACCTATTCCATTGACACTGAAGGATCAAACTATTGGAATTGTACCAGTAAATCTCAATAGCCACTATATTCATGCTCCTCCACCATTGTGATAGGAATAAAAAGCCTTACACCCCCCCAAACGTTGCAGCCATAATCCATGATGCTTAATGGCTGTAGAACAAATAGAGTATCAGACTGTCTGTCTGAGGACCTCCCTGAAGGTGAGTTGACACTGGTCCTTGGTCACTTCAGTCATGTGGATCCTGAGCACTATAAAGTAAAGCTCCTTTGTTTGATCGACAGAAATGGCCTAGTTGGTGGTAATGTTTTCTAGATCAACAACATTGAGGAAAAGTTGTTGCAGGTCTTCCAAATTGTCTTACCATAGAAAGCTATCACATTTATCTGACAGTAGAAAAGTGGAAAGATTCTTACTCTCTCTCTGTTCTGATGTCTTAAAATGAAGAAAGTTCCTCCTAGAGTTTGGAGATTTCCATTACTATTTTGTGAAATATTAAACTGTGCTGCATCTAGTAACAATCACTCTATGTTCTGGTGCAGTAGCAATCAAACTTTTCTGTGTGGAAACTCTATTCCAATCTAATCAAGCCTCTCCTCCCTTTAAGCAATATGGGAATGGTTGGAAGGGGTCACAATTCTCTGATACCTGTTCACACTCCTCCGCTCTCCTACCCCAGGTTGAGAATCCCTGTTCTTGAGGAATATGTTGTGGACCTTAGACAGATGTAGTGATCAGGATGTATACTCACCTCCTTATTTGTCAGACTTCTTGCACAGTACAGTGTTGACAGCTCCAAATGTCACCTTTATAGCTGCTATCTGATTCACATCTTTGCAAAATGCTTACAGACCACTGTAACTTACAAAGGATGGAAGTGCATCTTCCCCCCCATAGAGATAATAAAACAGCACCTGTGAACGGATCAGATCATCTGCTTGTGCCATCATGAGTGCCATTTAGCTATTTTAGGTCCTAATCCTACCCAACATCCTTATATACATGAGCAGTACTATTATATTCAGTGTCTCATAGAATCGTAGAGTACTAGGACTGGAAGGGACCTCGAGAGGTCAACAAGTCCAGTCCCCTTCCCTCATGGCAGGACCAAATACTGTCTAGACCATCTCCGATAGATATTTATCAAACTTACCTTTAAATATCTCCAGAGATGGGGATTCTACAATCTCCCTGGGCAATTTATTCCAGTGTTTGACTACCCTGACAGTTAGGAACTTTTTCCTAATGTCCAACCTAAACCTCCTTTGCTGAAGTTTAAGCCCATTGCTTCTTGTTCTATCCTCAGAGGCCAAGATGAACAAGTTTTCTCCCTCCTCCTTATGACACCCTGTGACGGGGCGGACAAGCCCCGCACTGATGGACAGGGGGTAGCCCAGGCCCAGCTGGTGGAGAAAGCCCTGCCCCTCCAGCCCTGCTGGGCATGCTCCCAGCAGAGGCTGGATATAAAAGCAGAGGGACCTCCACAGCCAGGGAGACTGCAGGTTGAGAGAGTAGACCAGGCTGGGCCAGTGTTTCTGCAGCAGCTGAGACCGGAGTCGCCGCCTGTGCCTGACCCAGAGCCAGAGCCAGAGCCAGCAGCCACCAACCCCAGGGAGGCAGGAGTGCGCCTACAACCCCAGCAGGTACTGACTCGGAGGCAAATGGACCCCAGGGGAACTGGGGCGTGGTAGGAAGCAGCCCAGGGCAAAGGACTCAAAGCTTGGCTCAGCATGTATCTGCCGGATTCCCCACCAAGAGTGCAGGAGCCATAGGCCCTGCCTAAAGGGCCCTGGGCTGGGACCCGGTGGAGAGGGAGGGCCCGGGTCGCCCTAGCACCTCATTTTCCCTGCCCTGGATAATCAAACCCCGGGCCAAGAGAGGCTTCTCGGAGCGGCTAGGCCTCTAATGTCATATGTACCCTGATAGAGGAGTATGAACGTTACAGTGAGACTGGTAAGGTCATATTTACCCTGATAGAGCGACCTGGACATTTATGTTGGGACTACTAGGGTTGTATTCACCCTGATAGAGTGGGCAACGGGCCCGTAAGGGAGGGGCCACACCCCACGCCAGGGGCGTACCCCGTGACACACCCTTTTAGATACCTGAAAACGGCTATCATGCCCCCCCTCAATCTTCTCTTTTCTAAACTAAACAAACCCAATTCTTTCAGCCTCTCTTCATAGGCCATGTTCTCTAGACCTTTAATCATTCTTGTTGCTCTTCTCTGGACCCTCTCCAATTTCTCCACATCTTTCTTGAAATGCGGTGCCCAGAACTGGACATGATACTCCGACTGAGGCCTAACCAGTGCAGAGTAGAGCGGAAGAATGACTTCTCATGTCTTGCTCACAACACACCTGTTAATGTATCCCAGAATCATGTTTGCTTTTTTTGCAACAGCATCACACTGCTGACTCATATTCAGCTTGTAGTCCACTGTAACCCCTAGATCCCTTTCTGCCGTATTCCTTCCTAGACAGTCACTTCCCATTCTGTATATGTTAAACTGATATTTCCTTTCCAAGTGGAGCATTTTGCATTTATTGAACTTCATCCTGTTTACCTCAGACCATTTCTCCAATTTGTCTAGATCATTTTGAATTATGACCCCATCCTCCAGAGCAGTCGGAACCCCTTCCAGCTTGGTATCATCTGCAAACTTAATAAGCGTACTTTCTATGCCAATATCTAAATTATTGTTGAAGATATTGAACAGAGCCAGTCCCAAAACAGACCCCTGTGGAACTCCACTATTTATATCTTTCCAGAAGGATTGTGAACCATTAATAACTACTCTCTGAGTACAGTTATCCAGCCAGTTATGCACCCACCTTATAGTAGCCCCAGCTAAGTTGTATTTGCCTAGTTTATTGATAAGAATATCATGCGAGACCGTATCAAACGTCTTACTAAAGTCTAGGTGTACCACATCCACCTCTTCTCCCTTATCCACAGGACTCGTTATCCTATCAAAAAAAGCTATCATATTGGTTTGACATGATTTGTTCTTTACAAATCCATGCTGGCTGTTCCCTATCACCTTGCCACCTTCCAAGTGTTTACAGATGATTTCCTTAATTATTTGCTCCATTATCTTCCCTGGCACAGAAGTTAAACTAACTGGTCTGTAGTTTCCTGGGTTGTTCTTATTTCCCTTTTTATAAATGGGCACTATATTTGCCCTTTTCCAGTCATCTGGAATCTCTCCTGTCTCCCGTGATTTCCCAAAGATGATAGCTAGAGGCTCAGATACCTCCTCTATCAGCTCCTTGAGTATTCTAGGATGCATTTCATCAGGCCCTGGTGACTTGCAGGCATCTAACTTTTCTAAGTGATTTTTAACTTGTTCTTTTTTTATTTTATCTTCTAAACTTACCCCCTTCACAGTAGCATTCATTATGTTAGGCGTTCCTTCAGACTTCTCCGTAAAGACCAAAACAAAGAAGTCATTGAGCCAATTCCAAGTTTCCTGTTATTGTTTCTCCCTCCTCACTGACCAGGGAGCCTACCCTGTCCTTGGTCTTCCTCTTGCTTCTAATGTATTCATAAAACGTCTTCTTTATTCCCATAGCTAGTTTGAGTTCATTTTGTGCCTTTGCCTTTCTAATCTTGCCCCTGCATTCCTGTGTTGTTTGCCTATATTCATCCTTTGTAATTTGTCCCACTTTCCATTTTTTATAGGACTCCTTTTTTTAGTTTTAGATCAAGCAAGATCTCAT